CCCGGTCTGCGTTATATTGTATAAACACACAGGCCCTGTCTCAGTCCCAGTCCGCGTTATATTGTATAAACACACAGACCACTGTCTCAATCCTGGTCTGCATTATACTGTATAAACACACAGGCCCTGTCTCAGTCCCGGTCTGCGTTATATTGTATAAACACACAGACCCCTGTCTCAGTCCCGGTCTGCGTTATACTGTATAAACACACAGGCCCTGTCTCAGTCCTGGCCTGCGTTATACTGTATAAACACACAGGCCCTGTCTCAGTCCTGGTCTGCGTTATACTGTATAAACACACAGACCCCTGTCTCCGACCCGGTCTGCGTTATATTGTATAAACACACAGACCCCTTTCTCAGTCCCGGTCTGCATTATACTGTATAAACATACAGGCCCCTGTCTCAGGCCCGGTCTGCGTTATACTGTATAAACACACAGGCCCTGTCTCTGGCCCGGTCTGCGTTACACTGTATAAACACACAGACCCCTGTCTCAGACCCGGTCTGCGTTATACTGTATAAACACACAGGCCCCTGTCTCAGTCCCGGTCTGTGTTATACTGTATAAACACACAGGCCCAGTGTGCGCTGGGATTGCGTGGTGTTGTGTCGCACTGGGTGCCCAGGGTATAGGGGCTCACTGTGCCTGGTGAAGGCAGAGAGATGCATGAATCCATGGCAGTGAGGTGCAGGTCTGTTGGAGGACAGTATTGTGAGGGGTGGAGGAGTGGCGATGGGGCTGCTCGCTGTGAATGGCCATATCCTTCTTCCTCTAAAGGATTTTGCCTTATCTCCCTCAGAATGTTCACCTCAGGTCGAGAGCACAACGTCACTCAGGCGAACCAGAAAGGCGAGTATGAGATCGCTGAGGGTCTCAGTTCCACGGTCTTCCGAGCAGCCCTGGTGAGTTCACACATCACTGCGTTCAGTAACCCCTCTGTGCCACAGATTCACATTCGGCACCGTGCACCAAGAATACATATCAGGGAAGCTGACTCTCCGTAGGGGAGAGTGTGGTGCCAAGATTGAGTGGGGGGCGGTGCGGTGTGGGTCTTACATTTGTACCATGGGACCCTGCTATTTGTTCCTGTGCTATCACATACCTTGCTACAGTCCATTATATCAACCGCAGGAGTTAATCTTTTATGAAACAAACTGATTGATAGAGTTGTTCGGTGTGGAAGGGCTCCCATCTTTCCTGCTGTGGGAGCTCGGCCTCAGTTTGGGTCATTTAGGACACACCCACACACACACACACACACACACACACACACACACACCCACACCCACACACACACACTCTCTCTCACAGACACACACTCTCACAGACACACACACACACACATGCACGTGCACACACTCTCAGACACATACACACATTCTCTCTCACACACACACACGCACAGTCACACACACAGACACATACACACACATACGGGGACACACACACACAAATACAGACAGGCACACACACACACGTACATACACACACATACAGACAGGCACATCCACACACACACAGACAGACACACACACACAGACACATATAGACACACACACAGACACACACACACAGACACACACACAGACACACACACACACACACAGACACACACACACAAACACACACACAGACACACACAGACAGACACACAGACACACACACAAACACACACACACGAACACACACACACATGCACCCTCCCTAACATACACATGCACAGACACACACACTCCCTAACACACACATGCACACACACACACACTCGCTAACACTCACACGCACACACACACACGCGCACACAGACATACACGCACACTCTCTAACACACACACGCACAGACACACACACTCCCTAACACACACACACGCACACCCACACTCCCTAACACACACACGCACACTCCCTAATACTCACACGCGCACACACACACAAACATACACTCCGTAACACAAACACGCACACACACACACTCCGTAACACACACACGCACACACACTCCCTAACACTCACATGCACACACACACTCCCTAACACACACATGCACACACACACATGCACCCTCCCTAACACACACACGCACACACACACACACACATGCACAGACACACACACTCCCTAACACACACACGCACAGACACACACACACATGCACACTCCCTAACACGCACACACACACACACTCCATAACACACACACGCGCACACACACACTCCCTAACACACACACACACACTCCCTAACACACACACACATGCACACTCCCTAACACTCACGCACACACACACACATGCATGCACACACACACACACACTCCGTAACGCACACACGCACACACACACTCCCTAACACACACACACACACACACACACACACAATATGAGGATTGGACGTGTAGGCTCCCTGGCAGCTATTACCTCATCAGAGCTCATGATCCCAACATTGAGTCACCCTGGCAAAGTGGAGATTAAAATCAGACAGACCCACCTAGCATTGTCCCAGGGCACCAGGCACAACAGAGGGGGCTACTTAATTGGGGAGAGATTGCAGAAAGTTACAGCACAGAGGGTTTGGGAACTCCTTGTATATCAATCATAAAATGTTTGCATCCAAGTTCAGGTAATTGGGAAGGCAAATGGAATGCTGGCCTTTCTTTCAAAATGCAGAGACCTTGCTAAAATTATACAAAGGGCACTAGTCAGACAAGAATACTGTGAACGTGTTTGGGCCCTTTATCTAAGAAAAGACAGACTGTCTTTGGGGCCAGTCCAGAGAAAGCTGATTCAGCTGATCTCGGGTATGGAGGGACTGCCTTATGTAGAGAATTTCAGTAGGTTGGGCCTGTACTCATTGGAATGCAAAGAACTGCCAGATGACCTTATTGAAACATACAAGATTCTTAGGAAACTTGACAGGGTTGGTGTGGAAAGATTATTTCCCCTTGTGGGAGAGACTAGGACCAAAGGGCATCATCTCAGGATAGTGGGTAATGTATTTAAGACAGAGATGAGGAGGAATTCCTTGTCTCTGAAGGTAGTGAATGTGTGGAATTCTTTACTACAGAGAACTGTAGAGGCTGGGTCATTAAGTATATTCAAGGCTGAGACAGACAGATTTTTACTTAGGAAGGGATTCCAGGGTCTTGGGGAAAAGGCAGGAGAGTGGGGTTGAGGATTATCAGATCAGCCATGATCTCGCTGAATTGGCAGAAAAGATTCGATGGGCTGAATGGCATGCCTCTGCTCCTACGCTTCATGATCTTATGGGTATGTCCTGCTCCCAAAAAGCAGAATAAATTCAATCCGGCCCATTCTCACTCGTCTACTCTTGGTTATGTGTAAAATGATGAAAGATGTTGTCAGTGTTCTAACAAACAGCACTCCCCGGGAACCTGGTGAATATAGCCCAGTCTCGGTCCATCCAGGAGGACACAGCTCCTGACCTCATCGTAACTCTTGTCCAGACAAACAGACTGAGTTTCAGGGAAGAAATCAGAACGAATCGAGGCCACATCTCACACAGTAAAGGATCAAGGAGCTCAACAAAAGTAAAGTCAATGTGAAACAAGGGGCAAACTCTCCAAACTGGTTGGAGTCATACCCGGCACATAGGAAGATGGTCGTGTTTGTTGGAGGTCAGTCATCTCAGCTCCAGGACATCTCTGCAGGAGCTCCTCAGATTAGTGTCCCTAGGCCCAAACATCTTCAGCTGCTTCATCAATGACCTTCCCTCCATCATAAGGTCAACATTGGTAACATCCATTTAAACAGAAGGGTTTAGACTGAGTAATTATCGGCCAGTTGGCCTAAGGTCAGCTGTGGAAAGATTATCGGAAAAATATTCTGAAGGACAGGATTTGTTCAGAAAGACATGGATTAGTTGTAAACTATCAGCATGGATTTGATAAGGGAAGCTTGTACCTGACTAGTGGGTTTGCGTTATAACGAGAGGCTGGATAGGCTGGGACTTTTTTCACTGGAATGTAGGGGGCTGAGGGATGACCTTATAGAAGTTTATAGAATCATGAGGGGCATGGACAGAGTGAGTGGCAGATGTCTTTTTGGATTCTAAGACTAGGGTACATATTTTTAAGGTGACAGGAGAAAGATTTAAAAAAGACACGAGGGGCAATTTTTTTATACAAAGAGTGGTTTGTGTGTGGAATGAACTGCCAGAGGAAGTGGTGGATGTGGGTACAGTTACGTTTAAAAGACATTGGGATAAGTACATGGATAGGAAAGGTTTGGAGGGATATGGGCCATGAGCAGACAGGTGGGACTAGTTTAGTTTAGGAACATGGTTGGCACGAACTGGTTGGACCGAAGGGTCTGTTTCTGTGCTGTATGACTCTATCACTAGAATGTTTGAGGACGTACAAGGACAGTCAATGGGAGGAGTGTGTAGGATATAGTCGAGACTCCGAAAGCTTGTGTTTTCAAATAAACCTGTTGGTCTATAACCTGGTGTCGTCTGATTTTTGGCCTTGCCCACCCCAGTCCAACACCAGCACTTCCACATCGTGGAAATTGTCTATATCAGTTTTTATATGGCAGCACAGAAGGATCGAAGGCAAACTAGCAAGTTAGATCCAAAAGCAGCTCAGAACGAAGGAGTAAACAGTAATGGTTGGTGGCTGTTCCTGTGGCTGGGAGGCTGATTCCAATGGGATTTCCCCAAACCTCAGTCCTACATTCCCTGCTGTTTGTGGAATGTACCAATGATTTGAACTTGAATATAGAGGATATGATTAAGAAGTCTGTAGATGCAAAAACTGGCTGTGTGTTGTAATGACAATTAAGGTTGCAAGAAACCCACAATAGCCCAGTAAGCTGGGCAGAACAGCAATGGGTGGAGTTCAGTGTTAAACTCCTGTATTTGGAGAAGGCTAACAGGGTAAGACCTCTGCAGTAAATGGTAGGATACTGAGAGGTATGGGGGAGTCAGAGGACGTGTCCACGGCATGTTAGAAGTGGCTGGCAGCTCAATGAAGTGGTGAAGAAACCATCTGACATGCTTTACAAGAGATGGAAGGCTATAATGGAACTGTATAAAACCCTGGTTAGAGGCCAGAGCTGGATTTCTGCACAGTTTGGCCCATTGTACTATCAGAAAGATATAACTGCACTGGAGAGGGTGCATGGAGGCTTATCAAAGTTCTCCTCTAGGGTCTGGTAGGGATTTCGGAGGCCAAATTGAACATAGGAAGAAGTGATAACTATATGTTAATTAAAGGATAGTTGGGTGTGAACTGTCCGAAACCTGGAAGTTAATTTTAAAATTACTGTTTCAGAAATGGACTTGGATTTTCATGAAATCATACTCATTGAACTCATCGTTATGTATAATATTTCTAATTGACCTTGTGTCGTTTCAGGATTATTACACTACTGGAGTTATTCAGTGTCCTGATGGTATTTCAGTCCAAGAACTCCGAGATGCGTGTGACTATCTGTGCATCAACTTCAGTCACAATACAATTCGCTGTCGAGATCTCAGTAAGTACATAACACGAGATCAATCTTCACATGTTTATACAGCCTGCAAGGACTGGCTAAGGCATTCATCATCCTAATATTTCCCATTTCAGTTCAAGACCAAAGGTGCAGCTCAGTATCAAGCCCAGCATTGCTGCTTGTGTACAAGTGGGTGCATGTTGTGGCGATACTGTGGCTTTAAGAGGTTATTTTGTCCTAGTTTGTTTTAAAGAGAGATTGAGTGAGAGGTACCGAGCTGTTTGTAAGAAAGTAAACAGCTTGTGAGGCCTTCGGGATTTTTTTTTAAAAGTTGGAACAATAGAAGCAGCCTGGCTGGGTGTGGTCGTGCTGCCACAGAACCAGGATTTTTAGTTTACCTTTCAGCAGTTGGTGTTGGGGTCTGGAAGAAGCCAAAAGCTGAGGGTTCTCTTCTTGCTACAGGATTTGCATGTGAGACAATCTGTTTTCTGAATTTGCCTTTTGCCAAAGGTGTGTTTATGGAATGTTACTAAATTGGAACAGTTAAATAGTAATAGTTACTGTAGTTATTATTCTGTTAAGTTTTCCAATAGATTTAAGTTATTCCAGTTCCTTCTTTCTTTTGTTGTATTTTAACTAACGTGGATGTATAAAGTACATTTTGCTTTAAAACTGGTAGTTTGACCAATCAATTGCGTCTGGAACACAACACCTACACTTGCCTTTAAAGTAAGAAAAAGACAGGGTCTAGGCTGCCTTATAATATATTTCGAGGGGGTTTGGTCTGGTCCATAACAAGGTAGACCCGGATTTTGACCCAGAGACACTAAGAGGATGGCAATATATTCCCCGGTCAGGGTGGTTTGATCGGAAGCTTGTATTGGTGGTGTTCCTATGTATCCGCTCTTGTCCTTCTAGATGTAGAGATCGTAGGTTTGTAAGGTGCTAATGAAGAAACCGTGACTTTTTAGGTACTTGTTTTCACCATGTGATAGTATGTACACGTATACACGAACACATGGACATACAAACCGTATGATTTAAGGCTGGTATAGGCCATTCAAGTCAGTTCTACCCTTCAGTAAAATCACCGCCTCAATGCCACTTTCCTGACAATCCCGATATCCTTTCATTCTCTTATCTATCAGGAACCTATCTGACTCTTACCTTTAAAATATCCAATGATGCAGTCCCACTGTTGTCTGGGGAAGAGCCTTCCACAGATTTATGACCCTCTGAAAGAAAAAACAAATCCTCGTTTCTGTCTAGAAACTAGCTCCTAACTCCAGTATCTCCAAAAAGAGATCGAAATGATTTTCTCAGATCCACTCTGCCAAGTCCCCTCAAGGTATTGTATCTTTCAATTAGATCACCCCTCAAGAAACTCCAATGAATACAGTCCCACCTAGTCCACTCTTTCCTTGTTGGATAACCCTTCATTTCAGGAGTCTGTCAAGTGAACCTTCTTCAAACTGCTTCTAATGCAATTATATCCTTTCACAAGGAAGAAACCAAAACTGGACATTTAACTCCAGATGTGGTGTTGGCAACACCCTGTACAACCATTGTAAACTCCATGTGTCAATGTTTATATCCTATTCCCTTCGAAATAATTAACAACTTTCCATCCACTTTCCTAAGTACTTGCTGGACCTTCAGACTAACTTTTTCAGATTCATGTATCAGGATACCTCAAGAGTTCTGCAATCTCTCTCTCTCCATAATATAAATCATTAAATACAATGCTGCATTTCTATTCTTCTCGCCAAAGTGGACAAGTTCACATTTCCTACAATATACGCTCATGTGCCAGATGGTCGCCTATCCACTTACCCAAACTGTATCTCTTTTTAAACTCGTTATATCCTCTGTACAAGTAACTATTGTTGTATCATCAGCAATTTTAATGACCAGACTTTCAGCCCTTTCATCCAAGTCATTAATATGGCCTCAGCATTGATTCCTGTCAACTCAAAAATGACCCATTTATCTTTCCTCTGTGCTTCCTGTTGGTTGACCTGTCCTCTCTCTATGCCAATACCTTTCCTGTGAGCTCTTGTTGTGTAGGAACCTTTGAAGTGGCACTTGGTGAAATGCCTTTCAGAAATAATTTGAACAAGAATGACGGTGAACAACATGGACTGGAGATTCTGCTCTATGCTCACACTTTGGACGTCTCTTCCAGGTGCTCTGCTACATGAGTTGTCAAACGATGGGGCGCGGAAGCAGTTTGAGAAGAACTTGGAAGAGCTGGTGTTTCCCCTGATGGTGTCAAGTGCCCGGAAAGGGGAGCGGGAATGCCATGTGGTTGTGCTGGCACATGAGGACACTGTGGACTGGGATCAACAACATCCACCACAGATGGGAGAAGAATATTCTCACAGTAAGAGCAGAGTGTGGCTGAGATTTACCTTCACCGTGAGATGTTGGGTTTCTTATTGCCTTGACATAAATGCACCATCCCACATTTCAGATTAATTTGTCAATTCCACATTAATTCTAGCAGTGATCTGTCTGATGTCCCTCCCAGATTTTAGTGCCCCCTCTCCTTTTGGCCTGGCGATAACGGGGTTAATTATTGTGCTCCATAGTTGCCCAAAGATTATGCAGTAGCTCCACATACATCAGGGACACGGACCCTGCATCAACAACTCAGTGCATTTCCATGGTGCCTTCAACGTAGCGAAACATCTCAAAAGCCTGATTTATTAAAACAAGGTTTGACACTGTGCCTCATGGGGAAGATATCAGGCCAGAAGAGGTATGTTTTGAGGAACCCGAAAGGAGAAGTCGAGAGTTTTAGTGACGAAATTCCAGAGATTTTGGGTTTTACCAACTGAACGCACAGCCACCCACAGTGGGGGGGAAATGACTGTGATAGAGCAATCCCCTGGCACTCACTAGCCTCACTACTTCACCCATTCCACCAAAAGTGTAAACATCACACCCAATCACTAAAAACCATTTATTATTGTTAGCTAGAATGAAAGACTTTCACCAGGATTTTCAATAAACTGAAACACAGCGTCTTCACTATAGACAAAAGTAATCCACAAGCAAGTTGCCATACTGGCTGTCTAATAAAGTAAATGAAACTGTATCTCCCTCAATCCCAATCCCATATACACACATTCATGCACATGCACACACTCATACACACACTTTTCTCATACTCTCGCACTTGCACTCACACATACATTCACTCTCTCTCACACACTTACACACACACATGGGTCACTCACATTTCTCACACACACACACACACATTCGTGCACTTCACTCTCTTACACACACTTACACTTTCACTCTTACACACATTCATTCATTTATTCATTCACAGGCAGGTCAGAACTATCCCACTCCTGTCAGTGACTTGTACACAGAAAACAAGCCAAACTTGTCAGGATTGTAAACCCTGGGCCCCCACGCTGCAGTTAGATAAGGACTCCCCTCTGGACACCACAGAGGAGCATACAAGAAATGAGAGTGAGGTGGGGAAGTGGGAATACTGACTGTGTTGTTCGTGTTTCAGTTATTTATAGCACCAAACTGTACAGGTTCTTCAAATACATCGAGAACCGGGAGGTCGCCAAACAGGTTTTGAAGAACCGAGGGCTAAAGAACATCCGCATCGGAATTGAAGGTGAGCCGGATGGAATGGGTTTTTGGGAACATAAGAATTGGGAGGAGTCAGCCTGATCATTGGCTGATATCATTGCCAAAGCCATGAAGCCTCTTTTTAAAGTACAGTCATATTTGTGATGTTTGCTGGTCTCAACTGATTCCAGCACAGGCCCACGATGTTCATGCCAGCTCTCCAAATAAGCAATTTACATCTCACCATATCCTTCCGTTTTAAAAAAAAGACATGAGGAGAACTTTTTTACACAGCGAGTGGTTAATGTGTTGAATGAACTGCCAGAGGAAGTGGTGGATGTGGGTACATTTACAACGTTTAAAAGACATTTGGATAAATACATGAAAAGAGATGTTTGGAGGGATATGGGCCAAGAGCAGGCAGGTGGGACTAGTTTAGTTTGGGATTATGGTTGGCATGGACTTGTTTGACCAAAGGTTCTGTTTCTGTGCTGTGTGACTCTACGTGAACAGTCTAACCTTTACCAATCAGCCTATCTCACCGAGGTTCTTCATCTCTGAATCCCGTCCATTCTCCTGAATCCCGTCCATTCTCCTGAATCTTCCCTGCATCCTCTTCAATGCCTTCACATTCTGTCTGAAGTCTGGTGTCCAGCTGAGGTCTAACCAGAGTCTCATACAAGTTTCACCTCACCTTCTTGCTCTTATGCTTGATGCTGCTATTAGGAAAGTCAAAAATCACACAACACCAGGTTATAGTCCAACAGGTTTATTTGAAGACAAAGTTTTCGGCATCTCATTCCTTCAGGTGTCAGGAGCGAGGCTCTGAAAGCTTGTGTCTTCAAATAAACCCGTTGGACTATAACCTGGTGTCATGTGAGTTTTGATCTTCTCCACCCCAGTCCAACACCAGCACCTCCACATCATTAAGAAAGCGTACAAGCAGGATATTTTATGAACCGTGCCCTGCCAACCTCAATGATGAAGTTCCTGCCAGGTACCTCTGTTCGTCCACCTTAAGTGCTGCCCCCTTTATCTTGCCAACACACTGACTTCTCTACATTGAACTTCACGTCTCCTATCCATCCATGTCACTGACCTATGACCTTTTTAAAGTGCTGTCTGTCCAGGCTGATTCCAGGGATGCCGGGTCTGACACATGAGGAGAGATTGACTAGGTTAGGATTGTTTTCGCTAGAGTTCAGACGAATGAGGGGGGATCTCAGAGAATTATAAACAGGATTGGACAAGGTAGATGCAGGGAGGATGTTCCCAATGGTGGGTGTGTCCAAAACCAGGGGTCACAGTATGAGGATTCAAGGTAGACCATTTAGGACGGAGATGAGGAGACATTTCTTCACCCAAAGAGTGGTGAGCCTGTGGGATTCATTATCACAGAAAGTGTCAAAGATGCCAAAACATTGAATGTATTCAACAGGCGGCTAGATATAGCACTTGGGACGAATGGGATCAAAGGTTATGGGGAGAAAGCAGGATTAGGCTATTGAGTTGGATGATCAGCCATGGTGAAGAATGGCGGAGCAGGCAAGAAGGGGCGAATGCCCTCCTCCGGTTCCTATCTTCTATGTTTCCTCAGTTGCTGGTGATGCCAAGGAAGGGGGGGGGGGGGGGGGGGGGTGGGGTGGGAGGCTGAAGAGCTCCCTTGCTTCTCAATGAAATTGAACCCTGGAACCTTGTATATCATGTCGAAAGGAGTTTTGGTCCGACAGGTCACAGCTTACTGTCTGTCCAGACCTGAGCCTAACCTTTCCGACTCGGAGGGGGATAGCGCTATCCACAGAGCCACTACAAATACACACTTACATTCAGAAGCCATGGAACTGTTGTAATGGGTTAACTCTATAAGACATTTGTACACAGTAGGATCCCATAAGAGTAGAGTGAGAATGATGGGTCAGTATTTTTGTGCTCCGTTCTCTAGGTTACCCAACCTGTAAGGAGAAGTTGAAGCTGCGAGCAGGGGGCCGTTACGAGGTGATCTATAACTACGTGCAGCGACCATTCATCCACATGTCCTGGGAGAAGGAGGAGGGGAAGAGCCGGCATGTGGATTTCCAGTGTGTCAGGAGCAGGTCCGCCACCAACCTGGCCTCACCCCCCCGTGACCTTGGCACCACCCATCACCCACAAGTGGATGAGCTCGACATCCTGGGTCCAGCGCAGGAACAGGCTGGGGAGGTTAGTGCCACCCTCCAGGAGTAAGCTTAACCCTGGGGCACTGGCACATAACTGCCCCTGGAAAATGGGGCTGTGCTTCAGGCTGCTCTGTCATGGGAATACAAACAGGATTGAGGTGCTCCTCAACTCCACACTGTGACAGCACAGAGCATGGTGCTCTGGTATGTGGGGAGATCCTCTGCAGTGATCGAGTGTGGGGAAATCTGGCGGTGATCAGGTGTGAGGATCTCGCTGCACTCAAACACAGGATCTGACACAGTGAGTGGGTGCGGGGAATCTGACGTAGTGATCAAGCGCAGGAGATCCACATGGTGCTTGGCTGTGGGGACCTGGTGTGAGGATCAGGTGTAGTGATCCAGTGCATGAATCAGTTGTGCAGGTTCCATATGTACAAACTGTTGGGAAGGCTCTGACTCTGGCACTTTGGAATGTTTTTTTTAAATTCACTTGTGGGATGTGGGCATCACTGTGGCCCAGCATTTCTTGTCAATCCCTAGTTGCCCCTTGAGAAGGTGGTGAGCTGCCTTCTTGAATTGCTGCAGTCCTCCTGCTGTGGGTTGATCCACAATAATGCCATTAGGGAGGGAATTCCAGGATTTTAATCCAGTAACAGTGAAGGAGCGGAGATATATTTCCAAGTCAGGCTGGTGAGGGGAACTTGCAGGTGATGTTTCAGCATCCACATTTCTGTAGAAGCTGTCATGGGTCTGTTTAGGGGGAGGCAGGAGCTGTTTATGTCAGAAAGGGCAAGAGCAAGCGCGTGTGTGTGTGCGTGTGCTGTGGGGAAGGAGCAAGGTGATTGCCATCAATGAGCATGGTTTGAGTACGAGACCTATCCCTCTGTCACCTCTTCATTCTCTCCGATAACATAAACCAACTGAATTGGAACCCATCCACCTCCCCAAGGTGCAGCTGCCTTTGGTTGGCCAGGCTGGTGTCTCATGAAAACAGAACCTTCTAAGAGATACATTTCGCTGTTTGTTTTGAACATGGTATATCTTGTCTCAATCCCTGACCACACTCACTAGGGGACAATGCAGCCTCAGTCAACTTCAGGATCTCCCCTCCACTTCACTGGGAGTTGAATCCCAGTGACTGGGACCTCTAAAGGACTGGGAGGGGAATCTCCCAGCAAAGCAAAGGGCCTCTAACACTGGGGACAGAGCACTGGAGAGAAAAGGACAGCAGCAATGAGCTGCCTGGCTCTGAGTACAGGGGTCATTGAAATATAGTGGGTCAGGTACAAACAAAATGCAAATGGCCAGTGGAACATCTGTCTTTATAAATTATCCATCTGGAATCTAATGAAGCTGAACAAGGCCCTGGTTAGATCCCAGCTGGAGTTTCATGTACATGGCTGGGACCATGCTACTGGAAGAGGATAGGTGCTTGGAAGGAACCAAACATTAGGTTGGGGAAAGAACAAATAAAATGTGCTGGAATTTAGAAGGTTAAGAGGTGATTTCATTGAGGCTTTTGGAATGTTAAAAGGAAGCAATAGGGAGTACAGAAACTGCTTCCAAAAATGGGGAAGTAGATGCAACCTTGAAATCCAAGTCTCACCTTTCAGAAGGGATAAGGAAAGCACTTCAAGTAAAGGAATGGTAGAAGATAGTTTAGAACTCTCTGCCACAAAACACATCAGTGCTCTTAATCATTGAAAGGTGGAATTGGGTTGAATGGTCTGCTCCTGTTTCTCTTGGTCTTCAGATGCTGCGTGCAGTGTGAGCTGCTGTGACACAGTCCGAACCATCAGATTTGACCTTCTGCTTTAACTGAAAATCAGTACCATTAATATCCAACAGATAGCTCTTTGATCACAAATGATCAGCCTACCTTTCAAGGAATGGCCTATTCCTCATACAGCTGAGCCTCCAAATTATGCAGCAAATTTTAACCAGTTTAGTTAATGGGAATGTGCTTTAACAGCTGGAAGCAGAACCTCTGACCCATTTCCTTGGTGTACAGCACAGTGGTCCTCAGTCCTTTTGTGTATATGCTAGATCGTATTGGAGCAGCCCCAAACCAGTGCCACTGTCCCCACCATCCTGTATTGACCCCAAACTAGGCCCCCCGCCCTAAAACCAATCCTATTTTGTCCCATGTCCATGTATCAATTCAGTACTATCCCCACTTCCCTTTTAGTGTTCTGTGATTTGAATGTTTCCCTCCAAAATACAACGGTCACTGCCTCAACTGGTCTGTGTCCAACTAATCAGTGTGGTTACATTTCTCCACTTAATGACCATTTCAGATTGGAGACACTGACTCACCAGCCTGTGGAGACAGTCAATCCCAAAACACCGTCTACGTTCCCCTGCATGTTTTGCATCCTGCTAAATTTTGCTTGGCCCAGTGTCTGCTCATATACATAGCTCTCTACTCCTGCTATCACCCTGGGAAATCAAGAAATCTTCTTTGAAGAAACTGTACTCCAACCGTGACCCAGATTTGGTGTAGAATCATCATTACTTCCTTTGGCTTGTTCACTAAAATGTCAGCCTCCCAGATTTGGGTCATCTTAAATTTAACTGTGTATGAAGCATTTTTTGTTTTAAACTAACACTGTTTTTAGCTGAAAGGACCAGAGTCAGAAAATGAAACATTGAAGTGAGATAGCCTCTCGGTCACATCCCTCTGCACAGTGCTGCTCACACCAAAGCATTCCTCCCATTGAGAGATCTCCTACTTAAGATTTGGTTTTATTTATTATTGTCACATGTACCTAGGTGCAGTGAAAAGTTTCGTTTTGCGTGCAGTACAGGCAGATCATAGTAGTCAAAGATCACAGGGTGATTGAACAGAGTGAGGAGTACAAAGTCACAGCTGCAAAGAAGGTGCACAAAGAGTGAGACCAACATTAGGTTTGAAATTTAATGGGTCCATTCAGCAGTCTAATAAGAGCGGGGGAAGAAGCTGTTCTTGAATCTGTCAGTACTTGTGTTTAAGCTTTTGTATCTTCTGCCCAATGGAAGAAGTTGAAAAGATTATAACTGGGATGGGAGGGGTCTTTGAGTATGTTGGCTGCCTTTCTGAGCAAGAATAGACAGTCAATGGATGCAAGGTTGGAACAAGTAAATGAAAATATACTAGAACTGAGATAGTCTCTGGGGCACATCCCTAAAGAGGTTTGTGAACTTTGAACAGTGTTACAGGTATTTCTGCTATAAACGCATGTTTCGTTAATACGAATTGGCTGTAATGCGATTACGAATAGTGAATACTGTTTGGATAAGCAAACTTTCTACTGTAAAGGTACAGCGATTTCCCTATAACACAATTTTCTATAGCGCGAGGTCACATAGGAACGCAGCTATCGTGTATAGGAGAACTACCTGTACTGAGAATTATTTAAACACCTGAAAAAAATAACATTTTAGGTGAGGATCCACGTTATAACAAAGCAAAGTGCTCTGACACGTTGCCACAAACGAGCAGAGTTCAGGTCGGACAGATTGTTTATAATGAGCTCAGCTCTTTATGGAGCACCGGAAGAGGGTCTGTATGAGATAGAGTTCCTTAATCTCTCCTATTGTGCTCAAACTGTGAAATGCTGCACTGAATTCTGTCAGATGAATGATTGTTTTACTCTGTCTCAGCACATCTGCTACCCAGATCAGTAATTCTCAACAGCCGCACTTCAGACACATGTTTTACAAATTGACGAAGCAGCACCTGTCAACTTAAAAAAAAATACAGCCTGGATGGGCTCAGATACATGTTGAGTGTCCCAGCAAGAACAATAACTTAGTCTAGGGAAGGAAACCATCAGCCCTTGGAGTACATACTGAATCCAAGAGTAGTTTGGGATATGGACAAGAGAACACAGAACCACAAATGTGAAGGACAGACTGCCTGGGAAGACATGGAAACAGTTAGTACTGCAAACATTGGAAGGTGTAGCAGTTTAAGGGGAACAGATGACGAGTTATAGGTTTCCAAACTTCTTCACATGGAGGGTGGGAGTCCCTCACCTCTCATCAGGAGCTGTTGTAAAATAACTGACTGATTGCTGTGATTAGTCATGATCCTTCTATCATGCAACTAACAGCTCAATTATGAAGCAAAGTCATTCTTCACCTGGCAATTCCCCAGTTTGCACATTAATATTTTAATACTAGAATGTGGACATGCAGCCCTTTACTGAGACACAGATGATAATTTTTAGGTTGCAGTCACAATGTGTATATGGATTGACAGAAACTATTCAATGGTCCTGTTCAATCACCAACCAATGACAGTGCATTTGATGTCTGCCATTGAAAAGGGCTAGCATGCAGGTCTGTATAAAACATGCATCATGTACTGTGCACTGTTCTGTCCGTCACACTCTCCTTTTCAGATTTGGCTAAAAACTGGCTTGGGGGGGGATCTCCAAAGTTCTGAGAATTGCTGAGAAATGGAGGTTGCATCGGGCGGAGGGGGGGAGGGGGTGGTGGGGGTAAGGTGGTGACGGATAAAAGAAAGAGAGAGCAGTCCCCGTGGAACAACCAGCAGTTAATGTACTGAAGTTTTTGCTGGCAGAGAAACATCCAGGGGCCTTCATCCCAGGAACTGTGCAATGTTCAATTAAAGAATAATTTGCAATTAAAAGGTGAAAAGGTTGTTCTTTTTCTTCCACTTGCACCTCCCCTGCAGTAAACAAAAACAAACAGAAAACTCCAGACAACATTTCACAGACTCGGTGATGTTAAGTAAACAGTTTTATAATACAGTTTTAAACAAAATAAGTGGCCATCGTAAAAAGCAATACTGCAACTTACACAACCCTTACGCCAGGATTTACATCACTCAGCCCCAGGAACACTGGCAGTCTGACCCAGTCTCTCACATAGCCCTTCCTCCAACTAGAAATGGTCCTCACTCCACAGAGGCTATTATAGCCCCTCAGCACTCCTTCCCCTTCATGGGGACTGAAGGCAGGGACTGTTTACACAGTCTGACCCTATCACAGCTACATTGGTACTGGACTCCAGCACACCCAGGATCTCCCTAAACTGACCGTTAGCTACATGAGAGACTACTTCAGTTTTTGCAAGCTATTCAACCTTGGGGAAGCAGCACACACACACACACACACCTCTCTCTCACTCCTCACAACATTGAACATAGAGGGTGGGGTAATTTACCAGTACGTTTAGCCACACTGTTGTATTGAAAACAGCTGTTCCTCAAAAGACAATCACAACCTCCACCCTCATCTCCACATTGCTGACATTAGTTTGGGGAACTGAAATAATTTTTTTTAAAAACAAGGATGAAGATCATCGCCTGATGTGCACATAGCACTGAGGTTCAAGCTCTGGTCAGTAGCTTGCCCCCATTTGTATCAAACATTTCCCTCAGGGTTTGCAGCGTGGGAACAAGAGTGGCCCGTTCTGCTATTTTGCAGCCTCCTGCACATACGCAGGTTTAGAATATGGCAAAGCAAAAATTGGGTCTTAAGGGGGAGAGGACACAAAATGGCAGAAGCCACTTCCTCAGTATAATGGAGCCACAGGACCTCGTATCTGGGAACAGCACTGGGATGTTTAAACATCAGTCATGGCAACGAGCTATTCCTTAAAGCTCAGCAACAGTGATAGGCAGCTGTCAACCTTCAACTATATTCATCCCACCCATAGGACAGTGTGGGTGCCCCTACAATACATGGACCGCAGTGATCCAAGAAGGCAGCTCACTGCTACCTTCTCAAGGGCGATGCCCACATCCCACGAGTGAATAAAAAAATTCTACCTCAATCACTTTCTACAGGCCATCAGGTTACAAAATAAACAGCTTGCCACTGCAGAGCAACACCCCTATAATGGTCAGGAAGTTGGGATGCTGCAAGAAACAGTGTGGCACCAGACACTTGGAGCTTCAGCTGTGATCCATGTCCTAGCCTTACCAACTGGCATTCACCATTCTCTCTCAGGAATCTCTTAACTGACAGTGCAGTCTGAGTATGATAGTGTGGACTAACCCCAGGGACGTTTGGGTGGGGGGAGCCAGCAGCCTGTACCAACAAGATTATTGGCAGAATTATGTTACATTGCTCCCTCTCTAAATAAGGCCCCGTTGTAACATTCAAAAATTACTTTCACACAAAATAATGTACAAATCCCACCACAGCCATGTCCTAGAGTATGGGTCACTGGAAGTATGTTGGAAAATTAAAGGAAGCAGTGAGTTTGCTTGCACAGCCATTCTGACATTTGCCTGACATACACCTTCAGCACCGAGCAAATCCAGATAGCAACTTACTGTCAGACACAATCCCACCATAATCACTGGCTGGTCATTATAATAATCTGGTCTACAAGTACCAGCTTCTCGGATCCTCCTCTTTTGCTCTCTTAACACAGAGATAGAGGGATGGTTACTGAAATGACAGCTGAAAACAGGCGAGAGTTCTCCAAGTGATGGATATTCTGGATTTTATGGTAATACTGGACCGGCACGTTCGATCAAAGGCAAGATGGAAAAGGGCAAACAAAATAAATCAACAAAGGAAGGAAATGAGATATCTTCCAGAGGGATTATCTGTGGCAGGAACTATTGTTTAGCTTGCTATATGTACCCTGGAGTTGGTGCACAAACTGCATGGAAATAATAGACACAAACTCAAAGAAATGAGAATCTTCAAACAAGCCTGCAGAGATCCAGGCCTGGAATCACCCACCTTCACCCACAGCAATGCTAATAGGGCCAACATCTCCTTCTATACAAGTACAAACACACAACCGTATTTACAAACAAGATCCATCACAAACACTCTCCCTATAAAATAATAAAGCTGCATATAGTTAGAAATCAAGGTGACATCAGCACAGAGTTCATCACGAACCCAACCAATTAATAAATGCATCCAAATACAGATAAAAACACATGATGTGAACAGTACCTTGGTGTCTGCAGTGTGCTCAGCTGTGGACAATCATCAACAGAAATGGGAAGGGCTGGCACAGACAGTACAGAGCGATGAGCGGCAGTAGGGCAGCTGTATACCACCCAGCTATCTCTCTGTCAGACTACCACTGGGCTGCTTTCTGCCCCCCTCGCACATCACTATGCACCATGAACCCATTACACTGCCCTCTGACTGTAGGCAGGACCACACAGCACCGATAATTCACTGATAATCACTCAAATATACAGGCCCTCCTGTGACCATTTATAGGGACAGGTATATGCCCGCCTCAGCCACCAGGGAACACACAGCAAAGGGAGCCTCATGGACAGGCACAGTAGATGCATTTGCTGGTAAAGGTTTGGTCTATCGGCCACTAGGAGCTGAACTGGACAGAGCAGATTCAGGCAGGAGCAGCACACAGCTAGCGAGTGGCAAAGACCTGCTGGCCTTGTGTTGTAGGAATCCCACTGAGCCCTCTTTGGACAGCTACTGCCTGAGGTCCTGGGCTGCATGGAGTCTAATATCGGCATTTGCTGCCCAGCAAAAAGAGATTATAATGGATATCTGGATATTAGGAATAAAATCTGAGTAATTTCTCAGTCCTTCACAACTGTCACTATCCTCGGCAGTAAGGCTCCACCAACGGACCAATCAAGTTGCTAAGATAAAATAGGCACTAAAGTAGTGATGTTAGCCCTTGGGGTCAAAGTTCATCACTTTCCAGACTTCATGTAGGAAGGAATGGCTCCACGGGCAGTCAGTCCTTCAAATCGTTTGTAGGTATAGTTGATGAAGACCCAGTCCTTGTTCTTGTAGTCTGCCTCTGAATGGTTACTCACTGCAACTGGAGGGGAGGGAAGGAGAACGTTAGGAACAGCACAGGAGGGAGCTCAAAGATCCCTGAAGCAAAATGCAGTTTGATTTATACAAATCGGTACGTTCCACTGGACCCTCCTCCTCTCAAAAGTGCCAATTCCCAAGCAGCGACAGTTCCGAACGGCAAGCTCCAGTTAAGAAAACAATCTCATAGAACATGCACCCCCATCCCTGGAGACCACCGTATCAAACAGAGCCTCGAATAGATTATCGTCCTCAGTGCTGTCACTGGGTTTACTTCGTGAAGCTACTTAACAGGGATAATTAATTAAACTGATACAGCGAAGCAAAGACTGGATGATCTTTTGAAATAGCATGCTTTTACAGGATGGGGAACTTTTGGGACTTGTAGCACAAGCCCAGCAGAGGCCAGCTCACTGTGTACAAACCACTTCAAACCCGCCTGAAGCAGCCAAGGGGAGTCCGAGAGGGGTCATCCATCAGGGGAGTCCGAGAGGGGTCATCCACACTCTCTCAGTCATTTCCATTAAACAGCACAAAATGGCAGAATAAGGGTACTATCATATTTTAGGTCAAAGGCTTTCTATTCAAGTGCTCCAAGCAAATGCTTATCCTGGGATTCACACTCCCAGACTGAAGCTTTATCCTCAGATTTAACACTAACGGGATTCCAGTGACAACACCGATTCAGCAAAGAACTAACGAGAAAGTTTAGAACCAGCAGCTGACAGAGATTAGTTGTTACTCTAGATACTAGCAGCATCAGTAACTGGTCCTCGCTGACAGAGCTTAGAAAGCAGTGAAAAGAAGCCAGCACCAGAAACGTGCTGATCACATTTGGCCAGACTTTGGTTCCAGACTCACGCAGCACATGATGCGAGTCTTACTGACCTCTTCAGGTTATAAGTGACTTCTGGATTTCTCTTTTCCCTGACAAATTGTTTGCAAACTAGAGGAATTGGACAGGCCTGTAGCTCCTTGCTGATACCACCCCCAACAACCACCAACTCCCCCCACCCCACCCCGCAATCACCACTTTGTCATGACAGAGAATCTGGCCCTCTCCTTGCTGACCATTACTTATCAGACAAGATGTCAGTCCAGCAGACAGCAATGCTAAACTCCTCTACAGCTGCCTCTCCCAGTGTAACAGCACTGCCAAGGCTTTGGCTCACTGTGAGCTGGCAGTCCCCATTCTCCAAAGCACCGAATGAGATTTGAACCCTCCTCCACTCCTGGATCTTCCCTGCACTTGGTCAGAGGACGGGTTTGGGTAAACCATGCCGAGGACAGGCCTTCAGCAGCAGGGCGGGGAGAAGTGATGGGTTGTCCTCCCTACATTTGATTCCTGCCATGTGAGGAGCAGTGCTGATGTTTTAGACACTGCAGCAACTGCTCCTTTCCACAGAGCTGATCTCAAACAATACACAAGTGACAGTAGCTAATGGAAAAGTCACGGGATTTGGATGTTGGGGCAGGGGGTGTGCCTAAGGTATTGAGGTAAGGGACAGGGGAACAGCCTGACAATAACTAAATTGGTACATTCATGGATCAGCACATCTCTCCCACCACTCAAGAACCAGAGATAAAAAGTAGTTATAAACCAGCTTCCCTCCAATGAAGCCAGTGTGTATGTGGTAAAGCATAGGACCGGCAGAGTTTAGTAAGGGATGAGGGGAATAAAATGCTGGTTACCTGTCTTAGAGGACAGACACTTCTTACCACTACTTTCTAGCCCTGCCTGTGACACTCCTGAAGAGGAACAGCAGAAAACACCGTGTCATATTCAAATACAACAGCTTCGTATAAACACACCAATTCTGACATGGACTCCCACAATGGGCACAACTAGTGATACACTTAGCGTAGTGCAGCAGCAGGAGAATCTCATGTAATACACAGTACCCTCCATCAGCCATAGACTTCACTCCATACATATCTCACTGAACTCACTGACAGGGCAAAGACAAGGCACAGGCTGTCTGGATACATTGCAAGTGATACCAACACCATGGGTTCAATTCCCACAACTGGCTGAGATTAACCTGAAGAATTCTCCTTCTCAACCTCTCCTCTTGCCTGAGGTATGGTAACTCTCAGGTTAAAAACGTCACCAGCCGTCTCTAACAAGAGAGCAGCCTTTTGGTCTGGTAGGACTATGGCAACAACTCTGGAAGGTGCTGCCTGAAACGGTAGTGGAATCAGATTCAAAAAGAACTGAATAAAGAGGTGAACTGGAAAACTGCACTGGCTGATGGGGAAAAACACAATGGGTCAACTTCCACTGTCTGCGAAGTTCCAACAAACTGCAATTAGAAGGGGCACTCCAATCTCTCCCACAGCTTTGGAATCGGAGCGCGATTTCTGTCGCTGTTACAATGGGACAGCAACAAGGTTCCAACATCCCTCCCATCAACAGGCTCTCAGCACCCAGACAGTGCCTGTGATAGGGTGTCTGGAACTGGACAGCAAGTAATGAGACCACATGGAAACCACCAGCTCCACAGTAACAGAAATGTCACCTCCCTTTTAATGACTTCAAAACTTGTATGAAGGAATCTTGTTCCGTGCAGAGTGGTCAGATATCGACACTGCCAAGATAAGGCAGTCAGCAGACAGGCAATGAATCAGAGTTAGACCCTCAATCTGTCAATCTCTGTTGAGCTCTCCCTCTTCTTGTGCTTACTGTCTGGTTTTGGAAATTAGTAACAGATGTTGCTGAGACTGACCACCTCCGTCTGGGATGTGAGGTTAAGATGTCACCTGAAGGTGAAAGACGGGGTGACCCTGAGCCCATGTTCTACAGTCACTAATCAATAACCCAGACAAGGAAGTGCACGTACAAGCAGTGATCAGAACAAGCCTCCCTGACATAAGAACATAAGAACTAGGAGCAGGAGTAGGCGTCCAGCCCTTCAAGGCCTGCTCCGCCATTCAATAAGATCATGGCTGATCTTTTCGTGGACTCTGATCCACTTACCCGCGTTCTCACCGTATCCCTTAATTCCTTTATTGTTCAAAAAAAATCTACCTTATCTTTAAAAACGTTTACTGAAGTAGCATCAACTACTTCACTGGCCAAGGAATTCCATAGATTAACAACCCTCTGGGTGAAGAAGTTCCTTCTCAATTCAGTCCTAAATCTGCTCCCTCTAATCTTGAGGCTATGCCCTCTTGTCCTAGCTTCACCTGCCAGTGGAAACATCCTTCAGGGAGATAGCTGGACATCGAGCTTATCCTAAACAGATTCACCTTCACATATATTTAATAAATGCTTTTAACTAAATAATGCCCTGATAAAGCAGGAACAACTCACAATTCAAAAAAATTCAGTACCCATCTCCTGGGAGAGAACTCCCTCCCTCCCTGAAGGGCTGCTCCTTACCTGGCTGTAAGATGTCAGAATCAGGGAATTCATCAAAGTTCGATGTATCATCAATACTCTTTATTTCAATAGAGATAGCTGCCGGCCTCTCCCTGTCAGAGGAGCAAGAGAGAGAGAGAGAGAGAGAGAGAGAGGATTAGAAACTGCAAACTGCTCAACAAAAACTTAAACAAATACAGATAGAGCTATCAGGAACCACAGAGAGCACAGGACATCAAAATGTCAGAGGGCATGTGGCAGCTTTATCGTACCGGGCAGAGGTGACTTCAAGACGGGCAGCCTGCAGGAATCAGGGCTTACCCGCACACCAGCAGCCTATGGTTGAGGTATAAGAGGCAGCGAGTGTATAATAAGGGAGCCAAAAGCTTCTGCAGATTGAAAGTTGACAGGTGGTGGTAAAGTCAGAAACAAGACAGTCTCTCCAGGAAAGCGGGTCAGAGCTCCGATCCTGGGCTGGCACAGGTCAATCATTTGCCTACCTGATGTGCTCCCAGTCAACGCATTCAAAGAATAAGTTGCTCTTCACATCTTCCACTCCATTGGCCCCAATTCTGGTCTCCGACTCGCAGCAGAACCTAAAGGATCACAGGTCAGAGCCCGAGTGAGGGGAGACAAAAATACAAACTGAGTGACTGCTTTGCAAAAGACTTGTGCTGTATCTGTAAAAAAGACAGAGTTTCCAGTTGCCTGCTCCTTCAACGCAGAAGCGTGTTCCCTGACTAACATCTCTGTCTCAGGCTTGCTGCAATGCTCCAGGAAAACTCAGCGTAAGCTGGAAGAACAGCATCTCATTTTCCACTTAGGAACTCTACAGCCTTTTGGGCTCAATATCAAGTTCAATAATTTTAGGGCCTGAGCACCTTCTCCCACATCCTTACCCCAACCCCTACACACCAGCCTGGTCATCACATGGGCTGCTACCATACACAACCTGTTCTTACCCAACAGTCCCCATTAGCAGCTCATTATCCATTGCTTGGTTTGCCCCACTGTCATCCTCTCTCTGGGCTCTGTCTCCCCTCACTCCTTTACCAAACAGCCCAACCTAGTCTTCAGCATATATTCCACCTTTCCCTAGCTCAGTTCTGAAGAAAGTGACTGGACCTGAAACATTAACTCTGCTTTCTCTCTCCACAGATGCTGCCAGACTTGCTGAGTTTCTCCAGCGTTTTCTGTTTTTGTACACTTCCTAATCAAGATCACAATCACTGCCAGGGACAGAGGTTGGAGAGGCAGAGATCTCATTCTCTAAAACATTCAGTCTCTCTGAACAACGCCAATCCTTGCTGCAGTTCAGAGCGGCAGTCAACAGCTGCTGGTCCATATCTCACACGTGACTATTCCTCACGGGAGTCAACACAAGGGCTATTGCACACAAGAGTCGTAATAGCCAGGTCCATCCCCGTGCTCACCTGACATCCCACACGTTGCCCAGCAAGGGTCGTAACCAGTGATTAAGGCTGTGGACCCACCCCAGCTAAACCCAGAGACACTGTGACAAACTACAGCAGCATCAAACTATGGCACAGGCCTCATGAGAATAAAACTGCTGGTACAGGGGGGCAGCAGAGGTGCACACAACAGAAGAACAAACTTCAACAAGAGGGAGCTGGCACATGACATGTGCCACAACATGCATGAATTGCCTAAGATAATAAACAGGTCACAGAGTATTGCTATGGCATTTGGCAACTTTAGATGTTCTCAATACTCAGACAGGTCCCCATCACACACTCCCAGGACGGAGACATCACGGGTTAGACACAGAGTAAAGCCCCCTCTACGCTACACAGCGGTGGGAGTTACTGAGAAAGGCATGCAGTCAATGCCTCAGTGTTATTTCCTGTCATTTTTACCTGAGAATTAAATCCTTGGCTTTCTCTGAAATGGGAACCTCTGGTGGGAATGTGAGGGTCTCTCTCCAGTTCATCACTTTCTTATACGTCTCTTGAGGGGTCTCTGAACAGAAAGGCGGGTAGCCTGAAAACAAACAATTAGCAGGATTTAAGGCAGGACCGTGTTGATGAAGTGAAGCAGCTTCAGAGACAACATCCAGCCTGTAGGATGTGAACAGTGGTCACAAATGTGTCCCTGAACAGGCCCTCAGTTACATCTCCCCTCAAACTGCAGTGACAGTATCAGTCTCCTGAAACAACAGAGTCAGCATTCATCACCAGACAGGGCAACAAAACGTGTGAACAGGCAGTTGGACTGTTTCAAAAGGAAGTTGCAATACATAAGCACCTCACACACCAGTCACCATTTGGCTAGATTACACATGCACGCACACAGCGCACCATGTGCCTGTAATATATATACACCACAGTATAACTGCACACATGAATCCTTCGTGAAGCTGTAACCACAGAAGAAGCAACACTACATCTCTCCAGTAACTGCTCCCCACTCCCCACTCCCCCCCCCCCCCCCCCCACCCCCCCCCCACCGCACACAGCAGATACAGCAGCACCCCCGACCCAATTCACATGCAAGATCATGCACTCAGTTACAATGCACTCTCATAGATGTACTGAGCGTGCAGCCATTTTTGATGGATGAACTAAGTGACAAAAGAAGGAATGAAGTTCTCTTTCTGTACCAGACCAATTGGTCATACATTGTAGACCAGAGCAACCTTACCGATCAGCATCTCATACATGATGACTCCAAGTGACCACCAGTCGCAAAGTTTGTTGTAACCGGTCTGCATGAATACTTCGGGTGCAATGTAATCTGGGGTCCCCACAGTGGAGAAGGCCTGAAGGTAGAGTGCGAGAAAGACACAACCATTTGTGAATTTTGGGATCTGAACTGAAAGCAATCCTTAGCTCTGGGTCTACCACCTGCCAGGTAACACAGTCTAAGTTTCATGAGTTTTGGGGCACACATGGTTATCAAGTGTGACAGACTGAAATTATAAATTAAAAACTTTGTCATCAATAACTGATCACTCAGCCACAGACCTATCAACTGCTTGTTGCCAGACAAAGCTCCATTTGTACATAGCACCCCCGCCCAGCTCCTGTAACCAGAGTTCCACTCCTGCTTGAACAAGCTGCTGGTTAAACTTACAATAATGGTCAGGTCACTTGCCTTTTAAAAAAAAAAAAAGTGCAGCAATTCTTGGGTTTTAAAGCAATTCTTTACCCATTTCAGTCTACAGTTAAAAATATAGTAAAGACTTTTTTAAAAATTTTTCAAGTGTCACCAATTTGCGACGTCATGGAACAACAAACCATTGCAGCTTCCTAAAGTGTTCCATGTTTGTCCCAGAGATGTTATAAACCAGGCACAAGATCTAGTCAATTGAGAGATATATCAGCTTCTGGACTAAATGAATGACAGCATATCCACAGGACTGATAATCACATTAAATACATCTGCCATACTGTCAGCACTTATCACTCACTGATGCCGGATGAAAAACATCACCAACAGGGCACTGCACACTGGAAAAGGTTAAAGCACTCATAAAAGTGGCTCTAACAATGTGAAACCCCAAAACATGACCTTAAGTCCATACTGGACACTATATTCAATAGGTCCTGTGGTCAGGCTCCTGCTGATTCAGACAATGGTTGTGACACACACAAATTGAATTCAGAGTTATACGTGGGCTGTGTCACAACAAGGTATGATTAACTAACTGGTAACCTGGTGTGGTGGCATTAACTAACTGGGTGAACAGGCAGTGGTGCATTAATGCCGGATTTTTGTTTTCGTCAGCTGCGAGAGCAGGACCTGGACTCTCCTTTTCACCTGCAGGCGAGGACCTGACCCCTCCCTCTGCCCCCTGAGGGGGATGCCCTGTGGGTAAAGGTGCAGCCCTCAGTCAGAATGCATGACTTTGGGGTCAATCACCATCAAGTTCATCTCCTCTTCCCCAGGCTCCGGGTCTTTAAAGCAATGTCAGCACTCACCAGCTGCCGGCGGTTCCTCTTCCAGGTTTCTGCTTTTCGCTTAGAGTTCATGTTCTGGAAAGCTAAGAAAGGGGACAGTTTAGAACATATTAGCTGGCAGCATTTTCTCCCTCAGTACCACAGTTTAAACAGATGGTACACCAAGCTGGTGCCACTTTAATGTCAGACAGGGTACACGATCCTAGCTTCAATTCCTATTAAACCCATTGTTCAGGGATGTTATTACACACCATGGAGATGGTGGGATTTGAACCCAAGCCTCCCTGACCAGGGACACTAACACTGCACCACAGGAGGACCCACTAGGAGCACTGCCCTCAGATGTACAGCAATACCAGGTTGATGTGAGGAGTGGATGGAGCAAGCCCCTATTCCTGTCCTAGTTGGGCACCAGGAGCTCGATCCGGGAAGAGAACGATCAGCCAGGGTTCATGCTCTTCATTCCCTGGCCAGCAACTGTGGGAATGAGAGGACAGACTGGGAGGTTCTGTTCTCTCAGCCTGCCAATATTCCCACCCTGGCTCACCCAGGATCAACTTTTCACATGTTGTGGAAAAGGTAGGAAAAGGTCATGTGAACCAATCGTAGGCCAATCGGTCCATCGAGTCTGAACATTATTCGATCAGATCACGGCTGATCTGATAATCCTCAACTCCACTTTCCTGCTTTATCCCCCCATAACCCTCGATTCCCTTACTGATTGAAAATCTGTCTATGTCAGCCTTGAATATACCTAACAACCCATCCTCTGTGATAAAGAATTCCATAAAATCACTACACTCACAACAATGCACGAAATGTGCTGCCCCTCATTGAGATTATGCCCTCTGGCTCTGAACTCTCCCACAACCTTTTGGCATCTACCTTGTCAAGGCACCTAGGAATCAGTGTACCTCAATAAAGGTTACCTCCCATTCTTCTAAACTCCAGTGAGTACAAGCCCAATCTACTCAACCTCTCTTCATAAGACAGTCCCTCCATACCTGCGAAGAACCTTCACTGGTCTGCTGCCAATGCTAGTTTATCTTTCTTTGGATATGGGGTCTAAAACTGTTCATAGTATCCAGTTTCTTGTCTTGATTTAGTAATGAGAAGTACAACTTAATAGATCATTCTTCCAAAAAGCTGGCAAAGGGAGGATGGGCAGAATGGCCTCTGTGCTGGACCAGCCCATAATTCAATTCATAGCTCCTTATTATTTGCTGACATCTGCAAAGCCATGGCCACTAAGAATCTCAGTAGGGGCAATGAGAGAAAGACATTCCCAAATATTTTCTGTTATATGCAACTCCCTCCCTTACACACTTCCCTGCATCAAAACACAAGATCCAGCAAACGCAGCAAACATCCATCTCCATTAACTACACTATTCCATACCACAGTTCAAAAAGTGGCTTTTTGCAAAATCTCCACCTTGGGTGTAAATCTTGAGTGCCAATCCTTCATTGAAAGTACAGTCCCTGTTCGTCATGGAATTAGTTACATGGTTGCACTAGTCTCTGCCACAATCATTCCCTCATTCCCAACAATCAAGAATAACACAGTGTTTAATGGAGAATGACCGCAGAATTCTGAAGTGCAGAGGGCCTAAGGGCTCTCATGCATGAGTTACGAAGTTAGTATATATATATACACATCAACTGATTAAGAAGGCTATCTATCCATTATTGCAGGAGGAATTGAACATAAAGATATTATGCTTGAGTTGTAAGCAGCACCGCTGAGGCCACAAGTCTAATACTGTGTGCAGTGTTGGTTTCCTTATTTCAGGAATGTGTTAGGGATGGTTCAGGGGAGATTTACTACAAGGACAGCTGGAATATGAGGAGAGCTTGGTCAGGTTGGGCTTCTTTCTACCAGAGTTTGGAAGAGCGAGTGGTAATTTGATTTAAGCTTATAAGATCCTGAAGGATCTTGACAGGTGAATGTGAAAAGGAGGTTTCCCCTTATGGGTGAGAGGTCACTGTTTAAAAATTAGGGGTCACCCTATTAGGGCAGGGAAGAAGAATGTTTGTTTTCTCTCGGAGGGTGGTGCGACTTTGGAACTCTCCACCTCAGAAGGTAGCAGAAGTGGGGTTAAATCAATATTTTTAAGACAGAGATGGATTAGCAGTGGAATCATGGGTTATCAGTAATAAAAACAAATCGGGATGTAGAATTCAGTACTTAAATAGATCAGCCATGATTTTAAATGAATAGCCAAATGATCTACTTTCGCTCTGTCTGTAATCTTAGAACATCTCTCCTGTTTAGTGAGGTTTTACACCGAGGATGTGAGTCAGTAAATTCCCGGCTGTAAGAGGGTTAAATTCAAAAGAACCAGTGCACAGAATGGGGGTGCCAGAGTTTTCTCCATCTCTTCCATTCCACAAAAAAATCCACAACTGTGGAATTCATCAGGGGAAGGAAATCTGCCATCCTCACCTGGTCTGGCCTACATGTGACTCCAGACCCACTGCAATGTGGGTGACTCTGAACTGCCCTCTGGGTAATCAGGGATAGACAATAAATGCTGCCTAGCCAGCGACATCCTCATCGCTGATGAATAAAGGAAAGGAATCCGTTAACCGCACCAGCTACTCACTGAAATCACTGGGCAAACTGTGACTGAGGTTGCGGTAGAATTCTGTTCTGTGAGCCTTCTTCAGTCCTGTGCACAAACCAAAGTCTGACAGTTTAACGTGACCCTAGAAAACACAAGGTAAACCTCAGTCATTTGAGGGCAGAATTCTCTTCCCCAGAAGGTATGGGAGGCTAAGTTAGGTAGATTTTTGATTTACAAAGAGTCGAAGGTTATGAAGCACAGATAGGAAAGTGGAGAGAAGACAATCAGATCTGCCATCACCTTACTGAATGGTGGATAGGATTGAGGGGCTGAATGGCCACCTCCCCAATCCTACATTCTCGCTGCAGCAAGCGGAACAGACAAGTCCCAGCTGCCACAGATTGTATACAGCTAGATCAGATTGTGTACAGCTACAGCAACACGTCAGAAAAGATGAACTGTCAAACTGAGCAAAGACTGCAGTCAGATGCGGGAAGCTCAGAAAACAAACTCATAAGATCCCGGAGACTACAGTTGTAGGTTTGAGAAGGTACAATGTTTCAAACCAGTTTTACTGCAACCATTACATTGTCAAACTCCAATAGTTAGTTTAATAGTTGTAATTTAATGAACTGACATAAAGAGAGACAAACATCTTACTGACTGTAATTCATCATTCAGTAAAATCCAGGATCTTGACTCTGTACCTTGCTGTCCAGCAGGAGATTGTCTGGTTTGATATCCCTGTGGATGAAGCCCATCTGGTGGATAGAGTCAATGGCCAGTACTGTCTCTGCAATGTAGAACTGAGTTTCCTCCTCACTCAGCGTGTCCTTCTTCATCAGCAAAGTCATCATATCACCTGTGGGCAGAGACAGTCAAACACATCATCTCATCAGTTCATTCAACAATCCACTGGAGTCCAGGGATCACAGAAATGGTCATGTAATGGTCAACCACTTGGATAGTACCCATCTACATCAAGTCAGAGACTCGATGGTGAAGGTGGGAAAGGGGTAGATCTCACAGCATAGCAGGTTAATGCAGGAGGACAACCCATACGCGAGTAAGTGAATAGACAGCTGCTTTTCCACTTAGTGTTTCCATTTATTTCTCCAAAGATGAGCATTATTCATCCACTGTGTCCAGAGATGACATCAGATATGAAGCAACATTTGCCCATTAGGTGTCTCTAGCAGAGTCAAAGTGCAATCCACAGCTTGGCCCTCCCAGAAAGGAGCAAGGCCCACACCATCAGCGACTGGAAATGCACACAGCACAGTGAGACATGTTAGGCAGTATCAGCAAAAAAGAATTTTATTCAGAGTCATGATGATAATAATGTTGTTATTTATAACAATGGCATCTTACTCAAGAAACATATTTGCAGCCCAAAAGGTCAAACTGCAGTATGACTGACATCAAACACTTCATAGATAAATTAAATTAAAAATATGAAATTGTGGGAAAAATCATAGCAACAAACAGACAATTTCAGTGGACAGCAGGGAAGCTGTGGACAGGATAATGAAATCTAATGAACTAATTAAAATTGTATCAAAATCAAAAGGAATACATCATCCCTACAGGCACAAGGACTCGTGGAAATGACAATGTCAGTGGAGGCAAGAAGGTGCTGAAGAAAGGCGACATGTTCCAGCGGCAGCAGCGCGGCTCCAGGACATAGCGGGGCCCAGGTACCTGACGGTACAGGCTGTGGCAGTATGTGGAGACTCGGGGCACCTGAGTGTTTACAGACTTGAGGGATGGGCTTTGTTTTTCTGGAGGTGAGGACTCATGGCAGAGGCGGGGGAATGATCTGGTCATTTACTTTTGGCTGTTTCTTTTATTTCTGCTTCTGTTTTTAAATCCTGTCTTTTGTATACTAAGATGGCACTAAGAGAATGATGACTTTGTACACTTTTCACTGTACTCAAGTACGTGTGATAATAAAATCTAAATCTACATTATAGGCACTTAATTACACATAGATTTCATCATCTGGGTATTTCAGCAAGGACCTGAGCCATGTAAGCAATAGTCCACCTCCCTATCTACATCTTGTGCAGAGGAATTCAGCTGAATCTCTGAGCTGCCTCGATTGCTGTGGTGATGAGCTGTGAAACTGAGTGAATTGCACAAGGCCTTTTCTCAAACTTAGTGGAGATATTAACTCTGTTTGTTTACAGAGTTCAAGCTTTGTGACATTGAACTCATACAACTGCATTGAGGCCTAAGATCAATACCAACATATGCTCTGCGCTCATTCCATCTGGGCAGATAGTGTGTGAGGAGTCAAGAGTCAGTACGATACAGAGACAGTATATTCAACCTCGGGCCACATGTAGCCAGGGTAGACTGACAACAGGTCACAGACGGAGCCTGAATGGGATAAGGAATCTGAACTGATGACAATTCATTTAGTTTTCTTTAGTAAATGGTCCACTTGACTCTCCCACTTCAAGTCAGCTCAAATGCACAGACCTAACATGTACTGGAAAGTCATGTACTGATAATGTTTCCTAAGTAGCAAATGAGAAAGCTATCCCCTGTATCTGCTGCTCATTCAGTGTAAAAGGAGTCCGGTTAGGGGCAGCTACAAAATGTTAAACTACAAAGGACAGGATGAATCAGTTGTGCTCATATTGCCCTCAGCATAGGAGATCGACAGGTGATCTGGTTAAGGGGCTTCAGATGATTAAAGGGGTAAAACAGAGAGAAGCAATTTCCTTTGGTGGGAGAGCCCACAGCAAGGAAGTAGAAAGCTGTCATTTCAGGGGCGATGCCAGAAAGCACTTATCCACACAAAGGAGAGTGGAAATCAGACACACCCACTGCCCAAACAGTGGAGGGGCTCAGGGAGTCAAGTGAAAATTTCAAAACAGAGATCAATAGGTTTTTCATTAGTTAAGTGTGTTTAGATTTTGGAGCCAATGTGGGGATGTCAGATTTTAACAGGTGGAGAGTTTCAGCAATTGCTATTGGCCCAGAAGCAGCTAAACCATTATCAGATTGAAGTAAATACACCTCACACAGTAAGCTCGATATTACACAGAGCCAGCACATACCTCCTGGGAGGAACTCCATGATCAGGTACAGGTTGAGTTTGTCCTGAAAGCTGTAGAACATTTTCACCACCCACTGACTATCAGCTTCCACTAGGATGTCCCGCTCTGCACGAATGTGGCCCACCTAAAGCAGAAAGGTACATTAAACAAACCAAGGATGTGTGGGGTGTCACCAGACAGACTCAAATGATGGACCTTTCATTCTTCATTGTGTTCTAGCTGCTGCACTCCTGAATGCTAAAGGTCTAACTTCACTAATGGAGACAGATCCAAGAGGTACCAACCCTGGTCAGCAGGTACAGGCAAGAGGTGGCAGCCTTGAGCTCCCAATGCACCAACCGGGGCTGGGAGTCACTGCCCAACATTCCAGCCCTTCCTAGTCCAGTGCACTAACTATACCAATTTAACCACCAACCGAGCAGAACAGGGATGGAGACTGGGCCTTTTGATTAGGGTGGTTAGTCCCTTCAAAGACCCAGACTCACTCCCTTACCCTATCCCTGTAACCCTGCATTTCCCATGGCTAATCCACCTAGCTGGCAGATCTCCGGACATTATGGGCTATATAGCATGGCCAATCCACCCTAACCTGCACATCTTCAGCCTGTGGGAGGAAACCCGGAGCACCCAAAGGAAACTTACACAGACACGGGGAGAATGTGCAAACCCACACAGACAGTCACCCGAGGGTGGAATCGAACCCAGGTCTCTGGCGCTGTGAGGCAGCAGTGTTAACCATTGAGCCACTGTGCTACTGTGCTACCTTCATCAGGTCATCCGCTTACAATGCACTAGCAAGATGGTAAAACACCTTGTGTGCTAACTATTTTATTTTCTGGCAGTATCATTATCTGAGGACGTTGGGGGCACGAGACAGGACCCTGTCACATACTAACACGCACAAGATTAAACAGAGTGCCTGCAAGACACCACCTTCTCTCACTGCACTCCGAAAAGTCAACAACAACTAAAAAAGAGTTCTGCTGTTTCAGGCAACTCACTGTGATCAATCATTGAACAGTAGAGCAAAGAGTGGGATGAAAGAGAAGATTATAAACTAGACTTTGCAGAGGACCCACTGTGAGCCATTCCTGCCTGCCAGAGCACAAGCCAGTGAGGGGTGAGTAAGGCTAATGTGAGAATGGCACAGACAACCCACTCATCAGGGCAAAGAACTCGATAATCCTCTAAACTGAACCCAGCGCCATTCCCATCCCTCAACAAGCTGCACAAAGACATGGAAAGCACAGCAAATCCCTATTGTTACCCATTCACTTCCTCATTTGATCGCATTGCTCCCATAAGCTGTGACCAGGACAGAGGCAGCTGAATTTCACCTTGACTTTTATAGAGGTCCACACACTCACCCAGATCTGACCCACGGTAAGCAAGCACAGAGTCTAGACCTGTTCTGCCGCATGATAACACTGTTCCAGGGGATACAGTATGGAAACTTCATCCTTCCCTCACCTTTGCAGGCCTCCCCTGTCCTAAGCAGTGCACATTCCAACAAGAAGCTGCTCACTCTCTCTGGTCAGAAGAGAACTTGATTTAGTGCTAATATTTGTGAACGCATTACCAAACAAGGTTGGTCAGCACTGACCCACACATTTATCCCATTCCATCCACATTAAATATAAAGTCACAGCCACGCTCAGTGCTAAATCCTCAAACCAACTTTACAATCAGCCAGAAATGGAGCAGGAGGAGACTTTACTTCAGGAGAGGAATGGAGAACCTCTCTCAGGCTCCTCCAGGTTTGGGTTGAGACAGAATACAAAATCAGGAAGGTAACAAACCCAGCTCACCTGCTCCTTTTCTAGCATGTCAGATTTGCGCAAAATCTTCATGGCGTAGATGTGGCCTGTGTCCTTCTTCTGTACGAGGCGCACCTGGAAGTGGCAAACAGAACTGACTACTCAGTCTTGTTTTATTCCAACACAGCTATTTACACTGTTTGACCCAGCATTAGATAGCACCCTTGCCTGGGTTCACATCTCAGTTCAGATTTGAGAGTATAATCTGGCCCTCCCAGCTGCAGAGTGCAAGATGCCATATTTCAAATGCAAAGTTAAATGAAGCCCCCATCTACCCCCAACAGTAGATGTCAAAGAACTCATGGGACTATCTTGAAGAACAGCAGAGGAGCCTCAGTTGCTAGTTATTCTTCAACCAGTATCACAACAAAAAATTATCTGGTTACCAATTTGCTATTTGTGGGAGTTTGCTGTGTACAAGTTGGTAGAACTGCTTTCTAAATTACAATAATGATGACATTTAAAACATTTCTTCATGGAATGAAAAGCACTTTGAGAAATTTCGACTTGGTGGAAGACCCTTAAGAAAGGCAAGCCTTCCTTTAAACTGCTGAACAAGAGCGCAGAGAACGTCAGCAAGTGTTACCTGTCAGACTGACAAGGTTACACCAACTCACCTGCTGAGCAGAAGTTTATTCAAAGTAACATTGAAGTTGATTCTAGCATTAGAAATGTGTTGAATATTAGAGAGGAGACATTGGAGTCCAACAATGCCCTTCCAATAAATGCTGCACACTCCACAAGGTGTTGATCTTTCTCCTCCTGAAAGTATCACACAGAGATACCTATCGGCTGACTCAGTGTCCAATAGGTTAAGTACATCTTTCATCAGCCTTACCTCCCCAAATGCACCTCGACCTATGACCTTGAGGGATTCAAAATCATCCAGCCCCAGTCTGGTCCTCTTGAGTCGTAAGAACTCCGTCTCCTTCCTGGCATGTTGAGACCTTCTCATCTTCTTCTAAAGTCAACGGGAAACACTTTGTCAGAGCCACACATGGAGAAAGTCCTTGATATCCTACACTGCACACTGTTACTATTGGACTACATGGACAAGATGGACCGAAGGGTTTGTTTTCATGCTGTACAACTCTATGACTATGACTCTAAATGTTGCCCTCATCAATAATGGCTCATCCCAAAAATGTAAGAAAGACCCAGAGGCGCCTTTCAGTCAATCACAAGTTGAAGCAATGGAAAGAGTGGAATTGGTTACTAAGGAAAAGTCATTAAATGGACTTAAGGGCCTCATATGTACTGGTTAATGCGATACACACATTGGGTCACAGACCCTAGTGAAGAAATGCAGTACAAACAGGGCCCCACACAGTCTGAAACACATGGCATTGCATCTATGTGAATCTATCTAACCGATCAAATCTCTTATTTTAAACAAATTCATTAGATCACCATGTCAAGGGAAAACTGATGCAGAGATCAGCTGCAATCTGATTAAATTACAGAAGAGGCTCATGGGTCTGAAAAGCTCATTAATGTTGTTACGGATATCTATCTGGTACCATTTACCAGGACACAAATATCCAGAGTCGACTACCTCCCCTACTCAGAGTTGGAATCCCAGCCAAGTTTCATAAGCCCACCAGGTCCAATGAGAGCTGAGTGTCACATCAGCATCACAATCAAAGAAAAAGGTTTCTGATCAATGTCATTTTTCTATACAAATAGTTGGACAAAGAAAAACTGCATGAGGACAAGTGAGTACACATCTATTGCAATTTATAAAACATACATTGATTAACAAGAATTATGCTACATCTCTCAGTTTCATGGATCAGCCAACAACACTGTCATCAGTTACAGTTTCATGCCTCAGTGCAAAGTGTAGAGCACAATCTGGAGTCTGCTACTCCAACGTTACATTGGTAGAACAGCCATCCCCTTTGAGTGAGATGCTAAACCGAGTTAAATCCCATGACACTCTTTCAAAGAACAGCCCATGGGAGGTAGGGGTGTGCACAGGCAGCAGCTCCCTCCCTCCCTCCCTCTCCTCTCCCCGCAACCTCCCCTCCACCACATTAGCTGCCACATTTCTTACATAATAAGAATGCTTACATGTAAGTGCTGTATTCACTGTTAAGTGCTTTGGGCTGTCAATTAGGTTGTGAATGGTATAACAGAAATAGATTTTCTTGTCACTTAGGCCCTTCCAGCCTTTGTGCAACAGCTGATCAGATTTCTAGTGGAAAAACATCGAGACCGCAGGAGTCTGCATTTCACCTGAGCGCTCTCAGACAAAGACTAAAAGGCAAATTAAACACAATTACCTCATCATCTCCCAGGCCTTCTTCTTCCATTACTTTTTCCAACTTCCGCTGCCTAAAGAGCAAAAATTCTTAAGGTAAATGAAGGATAACATTCAGTACATCAGCAGAATTACCACTTCAAGCACACATAATTCTAAAAGGTAGCCAGGGGTAAAGGCAGTGATAAAGTGTGAAAAATTCAAATCAATTAAAATTGAAAATCACTTTGCGGTTAATCCTAATTAGTCCTTCGTGGATAGTGCAAATTTCTGGCAATACAGCACTAATATAGGCTGTATTGCATCAATGGTTACGCACAAGATTTAGCACACACTGAGGCCACTGGCTGTCTTCCCACTTCCCATGTAGAATGCTGCTTTGTGCATCAATACCATTCTATAATCAGATAAAAGGTCAGAGATTATGCAGCATTTAATCTTCCTGACTAGGTGAAACACTCAAGAAGCTCTACACTATTCAGAACATCACCCAATGAATCTGCTTAAACATTCATCCCTCCAGCAGCAGCATGCACTACGTACAAGAAGCCCTGCAATAACTTGCCAAAGCTTCTTTAATAGCACCTTCCAAACTCATGACCTAACCAGAATAACAAGGACAGACAGTTCATGGAACACCAAGTTCCAAGTTCCCCTCCAAGTCACACATCTGTTCCACTCCAGAAAGTCTCAATGGTGAAAGGTTGAGCTGGGTCCAATTTTAAAACACTTTTACAATTTTCAGTTTAGATATAAATTACAAAGATCTCCCAACTCAAGAACCTCAAATCTCAATCCTT